GTGTTGCTTTTTCCTTTCTTCCCGGCAGATTTAGTCTGCTGGTTAGTTTTTTATTTAAAAGCTGAGCCACTAATGAGTAATTTGGATTCCAACTTCTACAGTAGCCTGTTAACCCTGAGAACACTCTTGTCTTTTTATTTGGGCAGGGTAAATGTCATGATGATAGAGATTCTCTCCGGATTTATTAGTAGCCCTCTCAGGAAAATCATATGTCCCAAGTACTTAACTTGAAGGAGGCAAAACTGCAGTTTATCTCTGGACACTTTGTGTCCCTTCAAAGCAAGCTGTTGTAACAGGTGGACAGCATCTTCTCTGCATTTTGGCAGGAAGGTTGAATACGTAGTCCATATATGGAACACATAGTCCATATATGGAATTGTGATAGATCCACTGGGAAATTCACTGTTGCCTAAATCTGCCCATAATATATAAGAAAATTAAGCAGGACTCTCTGAGTAGCCCAGGGGCCAGACTGACCATGTATATTGGCAATTTGAGAAATGAAGGCTAAACAATATTGGCTGTTTTCTCTACAGGTATGCTGGAGAAAGCACTGTGTAAGTCAATGACAGTGATGGGAATATCAGACAGCAAGGTATGGGGGTTAGGAGCAACAGGATGTCTAAGAATTCTTATTTTATTTGTGCTCTTAGGTCTTGAACAATTCTCCAGCCTTTTCTGTTTAGCTTTTTAAACTGGGAGAATTGGTGTATTGCAAGGATTAGTGGAAGGTGTTAGGAGTCCTTTGTCTAAATAGTCCTGAAAGACTGGTTTAATTCCTAGTAAGGCTCCAGGTCTAAGGAGATATTGCTTAATGTTTGGCAGAGGTTTAAAGTTATCTCTGTTTACATGGAGGGAAGTGCTGACTTAATTCTTCCCATGTCTGAGCAAGGCTTACCCATAACGAATCTGGTATTTTGAGGCCAGGTGAGGTGGCTCACACCTGTAGGCAGGAGGATTGCTTGAGCCCAGGAGTTTGAGACCAACCCGAGCAACATAGTGAGCCCCTGTCTCTGCAACAAATCACAACAATTAGCTGGACATGGTAGCATAAAGCCTGTAGTCCCAGCTTCTTGGGAGGCTGAGGCAGGAGGATCACTTGAGCCCAGGAATTTGAGGCTGCAGTGAGCTATGATTGCAGCACTGCACTCTAGACTGGGTGACAAAGTGAGACTCTATCCCTTTTTCAAAATGTGGTATTTAAATAAGAAAGACTCTAATTCTCCCTGTTTGGATTCTTTTTTTGTTTTCCACTTCCAACTTTTTTTTAGGTTCAGACTGAACATGTTTAGGTTTGTCACACGTGTAAATTACATGTCACAATTACAAATGATTTCATACTGAGGTAATAAGCATAGTATCCAATAGCTAGTTTTTCAGTCTTCACCTTCCTCCCACCCTTCATCTTCTAGTAGGCCCTGATGTCTGTTGTTTCCTGCATTGTGTCCATAGGTACTTGAGGTCAAGCTCCCACTTATAAATGAGAACATGTGGTATTTCAATTTCTGTTTTTGCATTAATTTACTTAGGATAATGGACTCCAGCTGCATCCATGTTGCTACAAAGGACACAATTTCATTCTTTTTCATGATTGTGTAATGTTCCATGGTGTATATGTACCACGTTTTCTTTATCCACTCCTTTGCTAATGAGTATCTAGGTTGGATCCATGCCTTTGCTATTGGGACTAGTGCTGTAGTGAACATATGAGGGCATGTGCTTTTTGGTAGAACAATTTATATTCCTTTGGGGAGATATCCAGTACTGGGATTCCTGTATCAAGTGGTAGTTCTATTTCAAGTTCTTTGAGAAATCTCCAAATTGCTTTCCATAGTGGCTGAAGTACATTACATTTCTACTGTGAGCCCCAAATATCTAAGACAGGTCTCATCAATTTGGAAAGTTAAGGATGCACCTGTGACACAGCCCCAGGAAATCCTGATGACATGCGTCCAAGGTAGTTAGGGGTACAGTTTGCTTTTATACATTTTAGGGAGATATGAGACATCAATCAATATGTGAAAGATGTACATTGGTTCAGTCTGGTAAGGCAGGACAACTCGAAGTGGGAGCTTCCACTAGGTTAGAGGTAGATAAGTGACAAAATTTTGCATTCTTTTGAGTCCTTGATAAACCTTCCACTGAATATACAACTTAGTCTGGCTCAGTGAATCTTCGTTTTTACATAAACATTAGAAAAGAGGAAGCAATCAGACATTCATTTGTCTCATGTGAGCCTCAGGGATGCCTTTGATAGAATGGGAGGCAAGTTTGCTCTAAGCCGTTCTCAGCCTGACTTTTCCCTCTAGCTTCATGATCTTGGCATTCCAAGATTTATTTTCCTGTCACACTACTAACAGTACCTAAGTCTTCTGTTTTCTCTGTAGCCTCACCAATATCTGTTGTTTTTTGACTTTTTAAGGATAGCCATTCTGACTGGTGTGAGATGGTATCTCCCTGTGGTTTTGATTTACACTTCTCTAATGGTTAGTGATGTTAAGCATAATTTCTTCATATGCTTGTTGGTCACATGTATGTCTTCACTTGAGAAGTGTCTGTTCATGTCCTTTGCCCATTTTTTAATAAGGTAGTTTGGTTTTTGCTTGCTGATTTGTTTAAGTTCCTTGTAGATTCTTGATATTAGACCTTTGTCACATGCTAATATGGTTTGGCTCTGTGTAATCAACCAAATCTCATCTCAAATAGTAATCCTCATGTGTCAAGGGATGGACCTGATGGGAGGTGACCAGGTCATGGGGGTGGTTTCCCCCATGCTGTCCTCATGTTCTCATGATAGTGAGTGAGTGCTCATGAGATCTGATGGTTTTATCAATGTGTGGTGGTTCCTCCTTCATTCTCTCTCTCTCTGTCTCTCATCTGCTGCCATGTGTCACATGCCTGCTTCCACTTCAACCATGATTGCAAGTTTCTTGAGTCCCTGACCCTAACCATGCAGAACTGAGTCAATTAAACCTCTTTTCTTTACAAATTACCCACTTTCGGGCAGTTCTTTATAGCAGTGTGAAAACAAACTAATATAGTAAATTGGTACCAGAAGTGGAGAACTAATATAAAGATAACTCAAAATCTGGAAGCAACTGTGGAACTGGGTTCCTCCTGGCAGAGGTTGGAACAGTTTGGAGAACTTGAAAGAAGACAGGAAGATGTGGGAAAGTTTGGAACTTCCTAGAGACTTGTTGAGTGGTTTTGACCAAAATGCTGATATTGACATGAACAGTGTAGTTCAAGCTGAGATGGTCTTAGGTGGTGAGGACTAATATCTGATTTTTTTTTTTATCTTGCCCAAATTCCTACCTAAGGAGTCTGGGGAGTCATGCTCTACAAATCATAAATTCTCATCAGATGGGTTTTATTTAAAACTGTATATGATTTACTTTCCAAACTGACTCTGGCATAACGTTATAAAACAAATAAGAAAATCAAAATATTTTACCCCAAAACACGTTTCTTTGCCCTACTCTGAGATGGCCCTGCAGGCCAGGTGTGGTGGCTCATGCCTGTAATCCGAGCACTTTGGGAGGCTGAGGTGGGCGGATCATCTGAGGTCGGGAGTTCAAGACCAACCTGACCAATATGAAGAAACCTTGTGTGTACTAAAAGTACAAAATTAGCCGGGTGTGGTGGTGCATGCCTGTAATCCTAGTTACTCAAGAGGCTGAGGCAGGAGAATTGCTTGAACCCAGGAGGTAGAGGTTGTGGTGAGCCAAGATCATGCCATTGTGCTCCAGACTGGGCAACAAAAGCAAAACTTCATCTAAAAAAAAAAAAGAAAGAAAGAAATGGCCCCGCAAAGCCGTTCTTTGTGGGGGAAAATTTGTAAAGAATCTCTATCAACATAGCTAGATCTTTTTCTTCTAGAACCTCCCAATCCTAAAGAGATGAACTGAGATCTGAATAGGAAACATTTGTCACCTATTGTCTCTAAGGGTAGCCACTAAAAGACTTCAAAAGAACTTTGGACTCTACAATCTTTATCTTAACCTGAACATTACCTTTCTGTCTATTCCAGGCCTTTAGACAAACTCAGCCAATTGTCAACTAGAAAATTAAATTCACCTATAGCCTGGAAGCCCTCAGTTTGAGTTGCTCCACCTTTCTGGACCCAACCAATGTATCTCTTAAATGTATTTGATTGATGTCTCATGCCTCTCTAAAATGTATAAAACCAAGCTTGCTGGAATTTTGTCCCTGCCCTAGAAATCTGTGGAACTTTGCACTTGAGAGAGATGATCTGTAATAGGAACTTATGTTTAAAAGGGAAACAGAGCATGAAAGTTTGGAAAATCTGTAGCCTGGCCATGTGGTAGAAAAGAAAAATGCATTTTCTAGGGAGAAATTCAAGTTGACTGCAGAAATTTGCGTAAGTAATGAGGAGATGAATATTAATAACTAAGACAATGGGGAAAATGTTTCCAGGGCATGTCAGAGATCTTTGCAGCAACCCTTCCAATCACAGACCTGGAGGCCTATAAGGGAAACATGGTTTCATGGGCTGGGTCCAGGGCCCAGCTGCTCTGTGGAGCCTTGGGACTTGGTGCCCTGTGTCCCAGCTGCTCCAGCTCTAGCTGTGGCTAAAAAAGTCCAATGTGCAACTCAGGCCATTGTTTCAGAAGGTACAAGCCCCAATCCTTGGTGGCTTCCACATGATGTTGGGCCTATGGGTGTGCAGAAGAGAATAATTCCGCTTTGTGATCCTCTGCCTAGATCTCAGAGGATTTATGGAAATGACTGGATGTCCAGCCAGAAGTCTGCTCCAGGGGCAAAGCCCTCATGGAGAGCCTCTGCCAGGGCAGCGCAGAAGGGAAATGGGGGGTTGGAGCCCCCACACAGAGTCCCCACCGAGGACAGTGACTAATGGGGCTGTGAGAAGAGGGCCACCATCCTTCAGACCCCGGAATGGTAGATCCATTAACAGCTTGCACTGTGCACCAGGAAAAGCTGCAGGCACTCAATGACAGTAGCCAGGAGGGCTGAACTCTGCAAAGCCCATGAGAGCAGCCACGGGATCAGAGCTGCTGCAAAGCCTGCAAAGCCACAGGGTGAGAGCCTCCCAAGGTTGTGGGAGCCCCCACTTTGCATTAGCATGCCCTGAATGTGAGAAATGGAGTCAAAGGAGATTATTTTGGTGCTTTAAGATTTAATGGGCCGGGCGCGGTGGCTCAAGCCTGTAATCCCAGCACTTTGGGAGGCTGAGGCGGGTGGATCACAAGGTCAGGAGATCGAGACTATCCTGGCTAACATGGTGAAACCCCGTCTCTACTAAAAATACAAAAAACTAGCCGGGCGCGGTAGCAGGCGCCTGTAGTCCCAGCTACTTGGGAGGCTGAGGCGGGAGAATGGCGTGAACCCGGGGGGCGGAGTTTGCAGTGAGCCGAGATCGCGCCACTGCACTCCAGCCTGGGAGACACAGTGAGACTCCGTCTCAAAAAAAAAAAAAAGATTTAATGACTGCCTCACTGGATTTTGGGCTTGCATGTGACCTGCAGCCCCTTTGTTTTGGTCCATTTCTCCCATCTGAAATGGGAGCATTTATCTAATGTCTCTACCCCCATTGTTTCTTGGAAGTAACTGACTTGTTGTTCATTTTACAGGTTCATAGATGAAAGGGACTTGCCTTTCATCTATGAACCTGTAAAAGTCCAATGTGACTTTGGACTTGGACTTTTGAGTTAATGCTGAAATGAGTTAAGATGTTGGGGAGACTGTTGGGAAGGCATGATTGGTTTTGAAATACAAAGAGGACATGAGATTTGGGAGGGGTTGGGGTGGCGTGGTATGGTTTGGCTCTGTGTCTCTATCCAAATGGCACCATTCCTCAGGGTGATCAGCCAGCTACCTGGTGGCAGGCTGGATTATATTGGACCTCTTCCACCCTGGAAAGGGCAGAGGTTTGTCCTCACTGAAATACACACTGACTCCAGA